AAAGTGTGTATTAAGTCAGCATCTGTGATCTTATCGCTATCAATTTAAGAGATGGATATATTTTTCTGGTTATATTTTCTGGGCTCCGCAGTTGGCAATCGCTTGTCTCTACACCTGAAGTCGTTAAACCTTTACGAGGGTGAGTCCGCACATAGCTTCCGTAGTGGCTGTGCGATAACCCTGACACTCCTTGGCGTTTCACAAGAAGAGGTCGCTAAGCATGTGGGATGGAAGTCTGTTGCCACAGCAGAGTATTACACCCAGTGTAGTAAGGTCATGGGCTCTGGAAAGACTGCATCAACACTTGCGACTGCAACAACACCAGCGGGAGAAAGCCACTTTACCTCAACAGGCCTTCCAGGCAAACAATGAGCTTAGGAACTGGGATTTGGCCTTCATATAGAGAAATCGGTGATGGGGGGAGGGTTTGGATCATTGTTGAGTTATGGAATGGAAAGGAAGGTTCACTAATTAAAGCTGTTTGGAAGTTGATATGTCGCAGGGCAGATTTGCTGTGTGACCTGAACAGGCAAAGCTGCGCGTCGGAGCGAATCGCGTCTCCCATATCTTAATCCCCTTAACCGGGACAATGAGTGGTCACAGCATCAGAGAGGATATCTTACTATTCTCACTGATGATATGACCACGATTTCTCAATCCCGTGTTAAAATTCAAGATTTTTACGCATGAGGGCATGCAGTTTTATCCCACGGGACTTGCAAAAGGCATTTAAACCATTGCCAAGCTCGCCTCGTCGTCTTTTTCGCATATTAAGCCGGTAGGAAAATCTAGCGTGCTGCGTCCCTCCCACCTCCCCTTCGGCAACATCCTCTACTACTCACCACTCATGTCTCCGGAATCGCGTCTCCCATATGTTAATCCCCTTAACCGGGACAATGAGTGGTCACAGCATCAGAGAGGATATGTTACTATTTAGCATAATCATCATGTCTGTATTCTTAGTTTACCCCCAAATTTCCCWGACAACTATTCAAGCCCTCCCCGCTCTTTAGTTTGTATGAGATTTACAAGAATCCCTTGAGATTTGGTGTGAGCAGCCCCATTGGCCAATAAGGCYATAAATTATTCATGAATTTTATAAGTGTTAACAGATATTCGGCTGATGTTTTTGTCCAGGGACTGATCTATTTTCTTGCTAAGTCGTTACCTCTAATATCGAGCTTATATGTACATTATTGCTGCATGGGAATAGGGACRTCAAATGATGTTTGACCGCATTAAGTACGCAAAAACGTGTTGTGTTCTAGTTAGCTATTACATCTTTTCGTATTGGAATAGGCGTGAAATAGCCAGTATAATGACGTTATGAGATGTGCAATTGATTAAGATTACTTTTTAATTTCAGATGATTTCGTGGTGGCTGTTCGGCCCAGTTGAATGTAACTATTAACGTAGCATTGCTGTACATATGTACTTGAATAGCTGAGTTCAKCTAATTATCTTGCATGTAAAATTCGTTTTCGTCGATCGCATTATTGGCATCCAAATGGCTAAGTTGGTTTGCAAAATATGTTATAAATGGTCTAGAATTGTGTCAATTGCTAGAGTATTTTGCACAGTAGATGTCCTTGAATATGCACCAATTTTAACACTCTTCAGTCAAAATTTTTGCTTGTATGAAAACCCTGGAATTTTATTTCATGTAGAGCTATCTTAAGTATGACCATAATTCTTATTATTTCTTATTTGTGCCAATACTTGCCAGAGCTTTTTGCATAGTCGATACGAATTTCACACGCCATGGTCACAGCTGGAGGTATYATTCTTGTTTGGTCAAAATCTTTGCTTCGATTTTAGATCTAGAGCTATCTTTACCATGACAATGTTTCTTGCGTTACCTACAAATAATAATGTAATTCTTCTTTGTTTTTCAGTCCTTGATGTGTCACTTATTWTCATTGTGTAAGTACCRACAATTCAKGYTTCGGACAGTTGAAACTATAGCACTCTGATTAATCAGTCATTCCTTAACTTAAATTTTGAAAAAACACGTTTTAGGCATGTTAGACCGTTTCATCAACTGTGGATCGTTTCATCCTCATTTCCCTGTTATAGATTGACCGAAAATGGATTTCATAAGGCCCGTTTACTCTTGCAATTTTTGAAGCGCGATTGTGGTGCGACAATCGCCTTAGTTTCGAACATGCTTGAAATTTAGCTGCTTTTGATCGCCGCGACAATCGCAGGGCTGTTTGCACGTACGATTTGAGGTGCGAGAGAACAAAGTGGCGATTGTCGCGCGACAATCGCGTTGCAAAAATTGCAAGTGTAAACGGGCCTATAGGTGTTTGATATAAATGCCATATTTGCATCTTGCTTTGCAAAGATGCGTCCCATCTTGAAGTCGTTATTTTAAGAGCGAAGTAAACAGACGTGGTCGTGAAAAGTTGTCTGTTAAGCTTTCTTTAGTTGAGTTCGTTTTGGGGAATAGGTCCACTTACAATCGTGGGATTTTGAGTTGCTTTAACATGCACTAATTGGCCTCTTTAGAAAAGACTGTTTGGCTTCAATTGTGTTTTTCAAATATGAATATAAATATTTTGATGC